TCGTCACTTCTTTTGCGGCGACCGGAAGCCGGATCGATCCTAGGGTCATAGACGTTTCGCCGGTGAAACTGGTCAGCGGCTTTGGTATTAGCTCGACCTCCGATAAATCGATTCCCATGCGCGCCAACGTGTTGCGGAAGATTACGTTGACGGTGCTTCTGGTGTCGGCCAGGATTCGAGCGACTTCTAGGTCGCTTATGACTAAGTCGATGACGAGAGGATCGGCGTGTGGCTGATCAATTCTGCCGGTCCCCGTGTCATTGAAAGAGATTACCCCCTTAGGAGCGTTGTCCAATGGTACGTTCCAACTCGAACCGGCTTCGGCTTTTCGTTGGTAGGACTTGATATATGAGATGGTATCGCTGTAGTATTGCGATTCATCGATGATCATATTGATCTTTCGGCGGTTAGCATCGTTACCTTTCTCATCTTGTCTTCATCCACATTTCTCTCCTGGCTGGTTCCCTTGAGGCCGAGTTTCCACTCACGAGTTCCTCTCGTTTTTTGGGGGGCGCGATCTGAATCGCGGATGAGGTCCTTCACGCTGGATATCTCGGAGAGTTCTCCCGCGAGCAATTTTGCGGACAGTCTGGCACCGAGAACTTTGCAGTTCACGGTAGAGTGTCCGCGAGTTTGGTGGAGATCGCAGAAGGAATTTTTGTCGTAATTCAGATTCCTTGACCACATGCTCCCCGTAGTTCGCCCTTGTTCCGATCCGGAATTGATGGCGTATTTTTGCACTCCTTGGAGAACCTACCCCTCGTGATGGACATATTTGTCGTTACGAGGGTTTTTCTTTTTTTTGGCTTCTGCTCTGACGAGATGTCCTTTGTGGACGCTTTCGCCGGCTTATGATTTTCAGAAAGGATTTTAGTCTCCTCTTCGATGGTTATGTAATCGGTAGCTTTGTGGAGCGCGTCCTAGATCGTCCCCGGTTTCTCGAGGGTTATCCACTTTCGAAACTTCGACTTGAACAAGAGCGATTTTCTGAGCACATCGATTGCGACTTTGTCACTTATTCCGTTAACCCTAGCCATGATAAGTTTGAACTTGCACATGAAGTCGCGGAGAGGTTTCTCTTCCTTCTGGAATAAGCTCCAGAGGTCGGCGTCGGAAGTTTCCCAAATTATAAACATTGAGTATTGCTTCAGGAATTCAGAAGCAAGCTGGCGGAAACTCCCGATTGAATTCTGTTTACGCTTGGCGAACCACTCGAGCGCCGCTTCTTCTAGGTTTTCGACGAAAAGACGGCAATAGCCAGCGTCTTTTTCGTGATCCTTGAGCTTGGCTCGTCCCATGGTGATCTGGAAAGCTTGCAGGTGCGCTTTGGGATCGGTCGTCTCGTCGTAGGTCGGCACTCTGAGTTTTCCAGGATCGGGTAGCCTGACCTTGGTGATGTGAGCCGTGAAATGCGTATTCCGAGATTCGTATAGCAGCCGATCTATTCCGGGCGCGGAGCTGGCAGCATGGTGAATTTGAGAGTTCACCGCTTTTACCGCTGCGGCCGTTTTATCGATGTAGTCGCGGAGATCGTGAATCTCTGTTAGATTGCCAGTAGTTTTCCGACCTTGTCGGCGTTTGCTGCGAGTAACTCGAGATCTTTCCTCGGCCGTTTTTGCGCGTTGCATGCAGTAGAGTTCCTCCTCGTCCGCGGTAAGAGAACGCTTGGGAGAGGATTTCGGCTGACGGCTGTGATCTTTCCTCCTCCTCGGATGGATGTCTGCATCTTTATCCGACGGATCAGATTGGTCGCTTGTTTCTAGGTTAACCCTTTCGACACCGTCTTCTTCGGTCTCATGTCCGCGAGTAGGAGATTTGTCTGATTCGTTAAGTGTCGCATCAGGGATATCTTTTTCCGAGTTTTGTTCCGAAAGATTTCCCTGCTCGGTTCTGGGGCGATCCGTAGGAGTCGCGAAATCGAGCCTTCTACCGCGGATCCTAGTAGTTCCGTGGGAACAAATTGCCCTAGTTTTCGCAGTTAAGGTTTCAACCTATTTCGCGAGTGAACCAATGAGCTTTTCTTGCTCTTCCGATTTCTTTTTTAAATTGGAGAGCATCTTCTCGACGGCCTCGGTGTTAGCGTTAACCGCGGACACATCTGGAGCTGGTGTATTGTAAATGTTGTCGCTTTTGTCGCGAGTTTGTTAGTCACCAGATATCGCTTCTTGATTAAGCGTGCTGCGGCTTGAGTGTAAGATAGATCCTAGCCCCCCTCCTTCTAGCGCCAAACTGTGGGAACCAAAATTCACCCCTGTCAATTTTACGTAAATTTAGGATCTTAGGGAAAACCCTAATTTCTGAGAGGACCTGGCTATCTGCGGAACCGCACACAAGCAATCAAGAACACGATATGAATAAGTAAAAGAAGTAAAAAAAGATATTGAGAGCAAGAAGGATCGTATTCCGAATTCTGGGTAAGAGTGGTACAGCGAGAGTAAGCCTTATCTGCGTAAGACGTCGGCAAGATTCCTAGTTCTAGCAATCTAAGACAAAACCCCTAGTTGAGACACACCTCGATAACAAAAACGGAAAGTTGCCTAAATGCAAAGTTTTGGTGGTGAAAGCTCTGAAAACTCGTCCTCTTCTTATGTCCTTCGCCTTTTGCTTATATACTCCCTCCTTAAATGGTTTAGTCCTTCCTTTTCGTCCAGATCCGAGTTTATCAGGAATCTCCTATTTGTCTCAATCTTTCCATTTTTCTTACGGAAATCTTCTATTTATCTTCAAACTTGACATTTATCTTCAAACTTGACATTTATCCTCTTTGTGAGAGTAAATCGTCAAACCATCATTGTAACTTTGGGCTGGATTTCGTTTAAAGTCGAGAGTGGGCTTTTATCGCTTTTAGGCTGTCCGAGCCGTTTTGCGATCAAAACCGTTTTATGATTTTAGACGAGATCGTTTCCTGATACGATGCCATTTTAATAAGATTTCTCGAGTTAGTCGTATAGTTTGACAATGTGCGATGTTTCGTCTAATTGTTGCCGTTTTATACGATCTTCCCAAACTTTACGAGAAAAGAACACTTTTACGATTTTTATCGTAAAACTTGAACGGTGAGACGGATCGAGACGAATCGAGAGACATTTCGACCATGGTTCAGAGCATGATCGAATCGAAGGACGTATGCCTTACGTCAAGGATGCGGGAGATCGAGGTTCGGGACGGCCAGGTCGACGTACGACGAGCCGAACTGGGTTGGTTCAGCTTGCCGTACGACGAACTACTTTGAGGTGACCAGCTCGCCATAGCGAACCAGCTCGTCGTACGTTGAACTGGTTCGGTCGAACCTGCTCGTGGTTTACGGCGGAGGCGATTTTTTGTGGTTTTTGGCTTAACTTGGGTAATCGTGAAATTGGCGATTTTTTTGTTCGTTCTTCCGAGATGATGATCTCCAAGTTTTCCGCGGATTTCCTTTGTTCGGAAATTCCTTAGAATTTTATAAAACACTTCTCATGTTCTATAAAACATATTCTTATATTTGCGGAGACCTTTAGCCATTGATTCTGTCGTGACTGATTTTGACACCAACATAGATAGCTTGGGAATCGACGACTGCAAAGGTGACGATTTTTGTCACTTCTTTCACGGCGACCGGAAGCCGGATCGATCCTAGAGTCATAGCCGTTTCGCCGGAGAAACTGGTCAACGGCTGTGGTATTGGCTCGACCTCCGATATATCGATTCCCATGCGCGCCAACGTGTTGTGGAAGATTACGTTGACGGTGCTTCCGGTGTCGACCTGGATTCGGGCGACTTATAAGTCACTTATGACTAAGTCGATGACGAGAGGATCAATGTGGTTGATCGATTCCGCCGGTTTCTGTGTCATCGAAAGAGATTACGAGTATTATCCGATGGTACGTTCCAACTTGAACCGGTTTCGGCTTTATTGTTGGTAGGACTTGATGGATGAGATGGTATTGCTGTAGTTTTGCGATTCTCTGATGATCATATTAATCTTTCAGCGGTTAGCGTCATTAGCTTTCTCATTTTGTCTTCGTCCTTTTTTCTCTCCCGGTTTGTTCCCTTAAGGCGGAGTTTCCGATCGCGAGTTCCTATCATTTTTCGAGGGGCGATCTAAATCGCGGATAAGGTCCTTCACGCTGGATACCTCGGAGAGTTCTCCCGCGAGAAATTTTGTGGCTAGTCTGGCACCGAGAACCTTGCTGTTTACGGTAGAGTGCCCGCGAGTCTGGTGGAGATCGCAGAAGAAATTTACATCGTAATTCGGATTCCTTGACCACATGTTACCCGTAGTTCGCCCTTGTTCCGATCCGGAATTGATGGCGTAGTTGTGCGCCCCTTGGAGATCCTGCCCCTCGTGATGGACGAATTCGTCGTTACGAGGGTTCTTCTTTTTTGGCTTCTGCTCAGACGCAATGTCCTTTGCGGACGACTTCGCTGGTTTAAGCTTCTCAGACAGGATTTTCGCCTCCTCTTCGATGGTTATGTAATCGGTAGCTTTGTGGAGCGTGTCCTGGATCGTCCGCCGTTTCTCGAGAGTTATCCACTTTCGAAACTTCGACTTGAACTAGAGCGATTTCCTGAGCGCATCGATGGCTCTGTCGCTTAATCCGCTAACCGTAGCCATGATACGTTTGATCTTGCTCATGAATGCACGGAGAGATTCGTCTTCCTTCTGGGATAAGCTCCAGAGTTTGGCGTAGGAACTTTCCCGATTTATAAACAACGAGTATTGCTTCAGGAATTCGGAAGCAAGCTGGCGGAAACTTCTGATTGAATTCTGCTTAAGCTTGGTGAACCACTTGAGCGCTGCTCCTTCTAGGTTTTTGACGAAATGACGACAGTAGCCCGCATCTTTTTTTTGGCTATCCTTGAGCTTGGCTCGTCCCATGCGGAGCGTTCCCCCTGGCTAAAACCCCGTTACAAATCCCAAGTCATACCCACGGAAAGATTCGTATTGGATTAGAATCGTATGGAAGAATAGGTACACCACTATCGAGGATCTACGTCACCAGCTCCAGACAGACATAAACATGCCAAGCTGGAAGAAAGTGCGTCTGGCGCTAATAATTATCATGGATATGGTTCTTATAGCCCACGAACAGAAGCCACGACAAACTCTCAGGTTTGTTAAGCTAGTGGAACATCTTGATGTCTTCTTTTGGCATCCGTGGGGAATAGAATCCTTCTTCAAGACTATTACCTGCATGAAACCTCCCAAGGCTGTCGAAGGGCAAGTTCAGGAGCCCACTGAGAAACTTGTTAATCTGCTGAAGCAGGAATCTTACAGACTCCAGGGTTTTCCTCTGGCGCTACAATTTCTCGCCTTTGCTGCTGTACCAAGTTGCTCTCCACCATCCAAGCTCCCAACGACTCGCTGAAAACCATGGATCTCGACGAAGATCACCTACCCATATACCCATCAATTGCGACGCTCGACATACACGGTGTGGAAGCTGATCCTAATGTGAGTTATTTTTACCATTACAGATCGTGTTACTTTTTTCATGCTAACTTACGGGGAAACGTAACTTGTGCTTAACTAACTTATGCTTGCTTGTGTAATAGCTCGTAGTCACAGCACTAATACCTTTGGAGAGCCAACCACAGCCTGGGTGGGGAGTGTGGCCTGATGTCTCTGTCAATGATGAGATATCATACATGGAGCAACTTATTGCTGATTGTCAGCCGTTCACAAAGACTATGTGGCCCGGTGGAGATACTTCCGAACCTTTTATCACTTTCCCAAGCATTGTCAAGATAATTCCCCCAAAAAATTGCACCACAAGATCAAGGAAACCACAAGGAAAAAATCTTAAACTGAGACATTCCAACAAGAAAACAACGTCTTCCCGTCAGCAGAGACGTATCAGCACATACTTCTCCAGAGCACAAGCTCAAAACAGTCAACACGAGCAGATTTTGGGAATCCTTAGTGATATCTCATCAAACTACTCCAAACTTCATAAAGAGTACCAGAGTTTGCGCAAATAGCTGATACGAAGGACGGGACGCTCCCTCTGCAAACGGTCATCATTCAACTCTCTGCTCGCTTCTTCCAAGACATGCACCCGACCAGACAAAGGTGCTCAGAAGGATACTACACCACCGTTTTCTGATCCTTGTGCCAACATCGTTGTAAGTACACATGCATCTATACTCATACTAATAACGATATATGTCATATGAGTTCTCTTTTTTAAACTCGATTACTCTATTCGCTACAGCTTGAGACTCATGTGAACGTACCACCTCCACCATCTTATACTAATGCTTCTGCCAACATCGTTGTCAGTACACCTCTTATATTATTACCATTTACCAATGTCCTGACTCATATGGAGGTACTTTCTCCACCAACTTCTTTTGATTCTGTTACGGACAAAATTGTAAGTAGATTTTCAGATATCGTTACTAGTGTTATGGTATTTTTGTGTAGGCTCGTTTTAGTACTACGGAACACAAGAAGGTTCGTACGAAGATGAAGAGAAGCAAGAGGGAATGAAGAGGTTTGTATGAAGTAAGGAGGAATCGAGAGAAACAACAAAAGAAACAATAGAGAAGGAGACGTATTATTGAATATTCGAATAGGAGTTACAATGTCTTGGTGTATGAACCCTATTTCTAGCCGCCTAGATCTAGTCTCTCAATTTCTAAGTGTCGATCCCTTATTCTAGGGTTTGGGTTCCCATCATATAAGTGTAGATGTCGGCTTGCACTAGGTTAAACTCTTCCATATTGACGAATATGGGAGAGTTTCCATGTTTGGTTACTCAAGGAACGGTTTTGGCACATGGGTCAGGCCCGGGGAACCTGAAGGCAGGGTCCGAGACTTGGGTCCCTTTGGAGCCGGGGTCTAGAGGCCGGTGCCTAGCCCGGAGGCTGGAGGAACCAGGTGCCTGGATATTGTTTCCCAACATTTTGCCCCTTATTCCTTGATTTCACTGATGGAATCAAGGGATAAAGTGTGTATAGGTGGAACGGAGTCGCTTTATCTCAGCAGATTCCACTTAGGTAAGTCATTGCTCTGAGACGCCCTATACCCCAGGTCCTTTTATAGGTCGGAACTGTGTTTGAAGCCTGGAGTAAGTCGAATTTTACTTGGTAAAATGGTGTTGTGTGGATATCTCCGGGCTTGAGCCTTTTGGAGCTTGATGATGTGGGGTCGCGATCTTTGGTCGGGGAGACGTCTATACTTTTAGGGCCTCGCGGTTTGAGGTAGGAAGAACTGGGCCGAATTTTTGGAAGGAGAATATGGGCTTTTGGGGTTGGCCCATAATCATTTTGATTTTGGTGCTCATCTTAGCGCGTGGTGGCAACCCCTTAGGGTTTCCTTTTTTAACTTCTCTCGTACCTCTCGATCTTCTTATCTCTTTTGTTTATTTTTTCCGGCGAATTCTACGGTGATCTCTCATTTCAGACGTTTTCTTCATTCTTGGAACAGGTAGTGATCCTTTTTCCCTTCCCTTTTTCCAATCTCTATGCATGTCTTCGGTGGGAAGTAGAGTTAGGTCTAGGGGAGGGATCGAAGTTCCAAATCCGGCGGAGTTCCCTTCGCCATCGGTTGATTCGTCGGTAGAGAGCCCTAGGTCAGGTTTCTGTTGACATGGTGAAAAAGGGTCGAGGCTGGAGGGTCCTCGTTGGTTGGCCCTCCTTCGAAGATAGGAGAGAAGGAGATTGATGAGTGGAGGAGGAAGTACGATCTCCTAGGGAAAGTGGTTATCCGTGCTCCGGGGCCTCTTGAGAGAGTCTCGAATTTTGGAGTTGATGAGATTCCGGTTTACGAGGCCTATTTCGAATCAGGATTTAGGGGTCAGGTCCCATCTTTGGTGGCCAAGATATCAGAGTTTTTGACATATCTCCGGGGCAACTAACTCCTCCAGCCTGGAGACTTCTGATAGCAATTCAGAACCTAGGTGATCTTGAGGATGTCGTTTTAGGGGTGAGAGAGGTCTTGTACTCATATATTGTCACCCCCCTGCATAGTGGTGGAGACCGATATTATCTTTATCCAAGACTTCGGAGTCCTCTTGTTCGAGAGATTTCTAAGAGCGAGAAGAAGCCATCCCGTCTTTAGAGGATATTGGGCTGAGAAGTTTGCGTTTATGGACATCTCCGGCTTTTCCACCATCTGGAACGTAGTTGGTAGGTAGCAGGAAACTTTTGGTGAGTTACTATTGTTGTACTAACTTTCTCACCTTCTTTTGCAGACACTTTTCATCCTTTGACAGGCGAAGGGAAAGAGGTGGTTGATCAAATTTTGAGGCTTCCTGAGGAGCGTTGTAGTGCTAAATTTCTCGTGAGAAGGAGGTTCTTGAGCGTTGTAGCATTTGGGGTAGGTCCTGTTAACCATCCTTGCTTTGTAGGCTTCAGATGAATATGTCTTGATTAGATCGGATTTACTTTTCAGGTAATATTTCTCGATCAATAGGGGAAGAAGCGTTGCATGCTTTCAACGAAGCAGTGGAGAGGTTGTCTACCAAGAAAAGGACGTTTAAGGTCACAGCGGCAGCTCAAGAAGATGATGAGGTTCAATTCCTACGGTCCAGCAAACGTAAGACTCCGGCCAGTGCGACTCCTTCAGTTTCTAAGAAGAAGACAAAAGCCGAAGGAACCACATCAGGAGCTTCTCACGCTGGTCAGACGGCTTGGCCGTAGCACTGGCTGACCTCAATGAGAGGGTATTCCCTGATATTCCATGCCTCCTCCATGTGGGAGATCTCTCCAAATCCGTTTAGTCCCTTCAGTATGGTCTCCTGGAGGTACGTAACCTTTACTGCTTGTAATGCTTGCACCTTTGATTTATTAACGGTGCTTTCTTTGTAGGTAACGTACCACTTGTCTCATCTTGAAGGTGTGATAAAAGAGCGGGTCTCCAATTAAGAGAAAGTGGAGTCCTTAACGTCCAGACTTCGTGAGGAGGAGAATCATGGTCTGGCCCGGCAGAAAGAAATCAAGTCTCTGCAGATCAAGCTAAAGAAGCAGGAAAGCGTTGGGACCCTGACCGCTGCTGAGAACGTCGCTCTCAAGAATGAGGTTGAGGGGCTAAAGGGAGAATTATACTGAAGTCTGAAAAGGCGGATTTTGAGGATGAAAGGATGGTAGCGGTGCAAGGAGCTACGATGGTTGCTCGCTGGGAGTTGATGAGGGAATGGTTCTGCGGACAGACTGACCATTGGAGGCCTTTCGAGGAGTTCGAGCACTACAAGAAGGTGAAGGTTGCAGAAGCGAAGAGTCAAGGTTTCCCTGCTCCTTCTTTTGAGGATGAGCCTGCTATCAAAGAGATGGGAGCTCTGGAAGAGTCTGCCGCTCCTGTCAACGATCCCAAGGCCTCCTCTTCTGTCTCTGCTGACGATATCAAAGCGCCCTCCTCTGCTTGATTTCTTTAAACGATGCCCTTTTGTTTTTAGTGCCCTTTGTTTGGGCTTTGTTATGTTGTGTCCTTCGGGGTTTTGAAACTTGGTATTGGGCCTCCGTGCCCCTTTTGTTTTTTGAAAAACTCCTATGGCCTCTTGAGGCCCGCATTTTCAGAAACCCTTTTTATCGGATTATTGCTTTTTCTCTCGACTAGAAAATTTAGCTTAGGTGCTCCGTAGACTCTATCAAGTATGTCGTAGGTTCTGCCAAGCGTTTTCTCGGGTGTATAAGTCCTAGGACGTTCTAGGCTTTTGAAGGAGGAGATTCCTTGGGCCTGGCATGGACCTTGAGATCTCTGGTTGGGACCTTCATTCTCAGGCATGGATATAGGAGGTCTCTTTGTGAAAACAAGAACTCGTAGTTCTGAATTGATGGGCTCGTTGCCTAGGCCTAGAGATTCTGATTGAGCTTAGAGGCTCAGAGCATCCGAGGATTTCCTTGGACCTGAAGGTCTATGGCTGGGCCCGGGGACCGGAAGTGTAAAATTCGGAATTTGGAACACTGGAACTTGGAAGCTCACAATTTAACCCTGAGGTTAAGTACTGGACTCTAAAAGTGTAAGTCAGTTTCTTGGGACCCTGAGGTATGTCCTATAATACGAGGACGATTATTCAGAACCCTGAGGTTTTCTGAGTAACTCTAAGGTGCTGGACCCGGAGGTGAGTAGATAAGAGATGTAAAATTTGGGATTTTGAACATCGGGGACCCTGGGGTCGGACCCTGAGGTCGTTATTTTGAGATTGTATTCTGCCTCCCTTGGGTGGGCCACTACCGATCTCAAGTGAGAATGTAGAATTCGGGATTTTGAACATTTAGGGCTTCGAGGCTTGTTGGATCGTACTCTGCCCCCCTTAGGTGGGCCACTACCGATCTTATGTAAAAATGTAAAATTCGGAATTTTGAACGTTTGTGGCCTAGAGGCCCGATGTCATCGAGATCGTATTCTGCCCCCCTTAGGTGGGCCACTACCATTCTCGGGTAAGGATTCGCATTCTACCACTTGGGCCACTATCGAGATCCTGTAATGCTGCACTCTGCTTTCTGCAGAAAGCCAGTCTCAGTCTTATATGTTTGTGCTGGGTTGGGTCTATTGGGAAGTAGTGAGCAACATACCAGACTTGCTGCTTTCCACGTCTGGATAAGCAAGATAGAAGTGCTCCCGGGGTTTTGTGCACGGTCTGCTCCCTGAGACCATGGGGCTGATCTCAGTACTCTGCAGTTATACGTCATGCCCCCTGCATCTCGTGTAGCTCGTGGCGTGTTTAATGTAGGGATTGAGGCACTAGTACGTGTGGCCCCCTTATAGATTTTGGCTCAAGGCCTCTACGCAGGGGCTGAGGTGCCCCTTTGGGCTCGGTCCTGCTTGGCGGTTTTGTATGTGAAAGTTATCACGTACATGTAGGGTTCGCCAGGATCGAGGTGCCCCTTGGGGTTTGATCCACCTAGTATGCCCCTTTTTAAGTTAGTGGAGTTTCTGTGGCTCCTTTAGTTGGAACTTAATTATGTTATATAGGCTTAGTCCGTAGACGTTTTTAACATACATAGGAGCAGGAAACCAGTGTACTTAAAATATATAG